GGGCCGGCTGCCGCGGGCCCACGGCCCAGGCCAGGCCAAACGCAGCGCGGCTGCGGCCTTCGGGCACAAAGCCGAGCCGGCAGCCGGGCACTGAGGTCTCTCGGCGCGCGCCTCTACCGCCGGAGGCCGAGCAGCCCGAGGCCGCCTCCCCGGACAAGGGGCGCCGGCGGGCGGGGGTGGCAGGGAGCCCTACAGAAGGAAGCAGGATGGGGCCTGGGGACTCTGGGGGCGTCGGGGCGCGCCCCTGGGTTCCGGGCTCCTCACCGCCTCCTTCGCGCCGCCACCGCAGCTACCGCCGCCATCTTGTGCCGGCTTTGCTCCTTGACCCCGGGCCTCCGCCCCGCGCACAGCAAGCCACGTACCGCTGCGCCCGCCCCTTCCGGCCTTCCGATTGGCCCAGCGGGCCCCGCCGCCGCCGTCCCTATTGGCGGAGCGCACACGCCCAGGGGCAGAGCCCGCGGCCACCCCTGACACGGGGGCGGGGCCCGGAACGGCCCTGCTCCGCTCGCTCTGAACATCACACCAGGGCGCGGGACTCTTCCTCTCAACTCGGCAAGTTTTATTTAGAAAATTCGGCGGGAAGGAAAACGTGACATCGCTCCTCCGGCCTGGCGCGGACCCGGCACCTCGCTAGGGCGCCTGGAAGCGGCCTGAGAACAGGCCCAGGCGGTCGACGCTGCGGTGCAGCACGCTGTGCAGCACGGCCAGGTGCGGGCCGCCCGCGCCGCTGCCCTCCCTGGAGAAGTCGCGCACGAAGCGGCCGCGCTCCGGCTGGAAGACGAACTTCTGAGGCAGTGGCCCGTGCTCGCGCAAGAAGCCCCAGACGCTGAGCAGCAGCAGCCGCACCTCGAAAGGGGCGAGGCGGCCAAACACCTCGTGCATGTTCCCCAGGGCCGGCGGCAGGAGGCTGCCCTCGGCCATGACGGACACCAGCGTGCAGGACGCCTGCAGATGCCAGGGGGAGCCGGCTGTGTCGGGGTGACGCGAGGCCTCCCAGTGCCCGAGCAGCGCGGCCAGCAACCCGCGCAGGAGCACGGAGCAGTAGCACAGCGCCGGGGGCGCGGCCGCCACCAGCTTCAGCAGCTCAAAGAGCAAGGGCTGCTCGCGGAACCGGCGGCCAATACGGAGGTCGCGCTCCACCGTGGCCCGGGCGTGCTCCTCGGGCGGCCAGGCCAACTCGGCGCCGGCGGCATCGGGACACACGCTCTCCACCAGGGTCACTGCTACCGCCTTGGCCGCCTCCGGACTCAGGGTGGGAGCCGCCCAGCAGCCCCCGCAATCCTCGCCCCCCGCAGCCCTGCAGCAGTGCACCAGGAGGCTGAGGAGGCTCTGGGTGTTGTACATCACTTCCTGCTGGTTCCGAACCTGTACGGACTTGGGGGGCTTCAGACCACGACCGATGACTCCAGCGTGGAAAACAGACCAGATCCCTCCAGGCCCAGGCACAGCAGCAGTGTGCCGCCGGTTAGTGTCCAACAGGGAGGGCAAGGCCAGAGGAGCCGAGTCAGGGAACACAGACTCACTGTCTCCATCCACCTCCCCTCCAAACAGTTCTGCGTTGCCTGGATGCAAGGCTCCCTCCACCAGCAGCTGCAGGACTGCCTTGAGCCCAGCAGGGGAGGTCTGAGACAGGCGGGTGAGAAGTTGGGAAGCAGAGGCCACTCCTGGAGGCCCATGCAGCCTCAGGGAGGCAAAGAACCGGTGCACCCCAGCCCTCACCAGTCCCAGGAGCTGCGAGGGGGACAAGGCTTCCACGGGAAAGGGACAGATGGCCAGGAGGGAAGCTGCAGCTCCAGCTACTTCCTCCTCCGGGTGAAGCAGGAGAGGAGCCAGGTCAGACAGATGGGCAGACGCAGACTCCCCAAAGCGAGCTCCTAGGGCTGCAGAGCCCTCCCCACCCTGCTGTTCCCACCCCACCAGCAGTGCCAGGTTGCGCAGGAAGCGGGCTGTGAAGGGAGGTTGCAGAGTCCCTGCATGAACCCGAGCCAGGCAGCTCCGAAAGGCCAAGGGTAGCAGGCCAGAGAGACTAACCACCAGCCCTGCGTACAGCTGTGTGGCCAAACTCAACTCCTCAGGGCTTCGGGCTCGGCTCAGTAGGTGGCCCAAGGCCTCAGGTCCACAGCTGGGCCGGGTATAGACAGACAGCAGGCCCAGGAGCTGGTGCTGCCAGAGGAAGCGCTTTCGCTCCAGTCGCAGCGTCTCTCCACACAGCTCTCCAAGGTGGTTTCTTAGCGCATCTAGGAAGGGCACTGGGCGCGGGGGTGGAGGTGGGCCCAGCACCCCATCCCCAGCGGACCCTCCCCGGTGATGGACCAGTTTTTGCAGATGCAGCAGCAGCAGCTGGATCAGCCGGTCACAGGCCTCGCGCACGGTGTCTGGCACAGCCAGGCCCTGGGTGGTGATGACTGAGGCAGGCATGGCTGTGTCCACAAGGAACTGCAGCAGGTGGTATGCACCTGCCCCGGAGGCCTGGCTTACCAGGTGCACAGCCAGGTTCAGCATGTTGTCCAGTTCCTCCCGAGGGAAACCCTGCAGATGTTGCTGCAGCTGGCTCAGCACGGCCGGGGGCTTAAGGCAGTCCACGAGCTCACCAGAGACTGTGCCCAGCAGAGCTGGTGACATGACTGCCAACTGCAGGAGGAAGGGAACTGTGGCCTGAAGGGAAGGGTCCCCACTCCGACACCCAGCGCCCCCTGCCAGGCTATCATGGAACATTCGAAGAAGCTCCCGCCGGATGCTGTCTCCATGGCGGGAGGCCAAGTGCCCTAGGATTCCCACAACTGAGGCAATCTTAGGCACCCGTTTTTCCCCAGGGATGCCAGGAGATCCGGGGAAGGGATCTGCAGAGGGAGTCTGAGAAGAGCTTCCACTACCACCACCAGCTCCCCCTCCAGCCCCTCCATGGACACAGAAGTCCTTAAGGCCACAGGAGAGCACTCGGGAGATGATGGTACCAGGAAAAGAGGAGCCGATGTGTGCCACAACCCAGTCAAAGTGTGGGGAATGCTGGACAGAGGTGTCCAGCAAGGCGTCCACACATGCATCTGGGCAGCTACCAATGAGAGCTGAGAGGCACTGCACATAGATGTCCATGAGCGTGCGGGTGGCCCTGCAGCCCATCCACAGCTGCAGCAGCTCATTGAGCGAGCCAGTGGCATGGGGCACACGCTGATGCTGGCCTGAGTACGTGCTGCTCAGCTGTCCCATGAGGTCAATGGACCATGCACTAATCACAGGTGCCCAGGCCTTTGGGTTGGCCCGGATAAACTCAGACAGCACCTGCTGCACTTCCTGCACCACGTCCTCGAGACCAGGTCCCCCAGTGGGGACGTGGGAGGGTGGAGGTGGACGGAGGTGAGGTGGACCTGCCACAGGGCTTTCATCCAGGGTAGCCAGGTGGGCCCGGACACTCTCATCAAAAACACCTCTCAAGTGGTCAAGCACAGCAGCCCGAGCTGGTGGCAGAGAGCGGAGCAGGAGAAGACCACAGCGAGCGTGTTCCCGGGCTGAGAGCTGGTGGCCCAGGATGGGGTCTGTGCCAGTCAGAAAAGCCTTGATTTCCTGGGACAGCTCCTGAGCGCTATAGAGAAGCAAAAGAAGCACACTTAGCAAGTTATAATTGCTCTGCAAGCTTTGATTTGTCTCCCTACAATAGGGATAACAACTGTACCTACCTCATAAAGGTTCACAAAGCACTTGTATATCATAGAGTTCCCATTAATCAATAAATGCTTGTTATTTTGTTTTAATTATAATATCAATGATGGCTAACTCAAGATGACCAGGTATTTGGTTTTAGTGCCTGCACATGCTAAGCACCCACTCTGCCACTGAACTACACACCCAGCCTGGTCTAGTAGTCCTTTAAGTATTTTTATATATTATTTCAGTCCTGACAACAGCTTTACAAATAACACCAAGGTTAAGAAAAATTGTATGCTCTTTTCAAGAGTAGGAATTATTTCTGTTTCAACACTGACAACACTTCCACTGAGGTGCCTCACGTGGGAAATGCTCAATAAACATTTGTTAAATTAAGAAGCTCATGGTTGTGCACTACTATAATCCCAGCATTTTGGGAGGCTGCAACAGGAGGATCAAAAGTTCCAGCTCAGCCTGGGTAGCCTGGCAATTTAGTCCCTGCCTAGGGAGAGAGGAAAAAAAAAAAGCTAGGGGTGTAGTCCAATGAGAGGGCTCTGGGTTCACTCCCCAGTACCACCAAATTAATGTATTTTGTGTGTCTATATGTTTTAAAAACACCTTCCAGCTTTATTGCACCCTCTCCCACACACAACAGGCACCTCAGGGATCTGCTCTGAGGAAAATCAGGACTGGTTCATGAAGAGCTCTCCCTCCCAATACCTGCTGCTTCCCCCCGTGTGCACGAGCCCTCACCATTCACCACTCCCTCCCAGCACCCGCAGTGTGCCGGGAGCCGGGGCCACAGGGTAACACCTTCCGCCCACCCCCTCCCCAAACCAAGGCTGATCCCAGCGGTTCACGAGGCGCTGTCGCGGGGAGAGGTGATCCCTTCCTGCTTTCGCCTGTCAAGAGAATGCATCCCCAGGGGATGATGAGACTGGCTGAGCCGTTCCTCTCCGGTTCCTCAAAAATTTTTTTAAAAACAAAAAGAGTCCGAGAGGAGCAGGCTGGCGGGGGGAAGCCCGCGGGGCAGTCAGGTTTCTAGGCCTGAATCCCGGACCTCCACGGACCCAGGGCCCGGTCCCTTGGGTGGGGGAGGACACGGTGGCTACGGGTCGGGCCGGCGAAGCGGCGCGGGGTCCGGACGGGGTCCGAGCCCAGTGAGGCTCGGGGTCCTCCAGAAGGGCGGGGATTGGTTTGGGCGCGGCGGGACGCGGGGCTGTGGCTACCTGAGCGGCGCGGGGCCGTGGGCG